AGCAAAACTGCTTTGCTGGGAATGAGAAAAATGAGGCTTAAGAGGAAAAGGGAGGTACTAAAAATATTAGATTTTTTTGTACTCAACAATATGCAATTAAGGTGATATTGTACAAACAGTGAGTGGATGAGTAGGCCAACATATAGATATTTATCTTACCCATGTGCAAGTGTTCGGGTGAAACAAATTTTCCTGAATATATTAAGAGGCAAATAGGACCCAGGCACATTTTTTGGGACTCTTGTAGCCAAATGTCTGTCCTTGCCCTCGGTTATTTGATAATCTGTGCTCTTGATAGCTGGTGCTTGCCCATTGCATTGTAGGGCTGCTTCTTCCATTTTCAAGCCGATGGCATATTTTTGTCTGTAGTACCTTCTTGACACTCAGGCTGCACCCCTTGTGAGCCTTTAAGGGAGAGCCTGTCCATTTGTCCAAATGGGGCTGCTAACCTGAAATTGGGCTGCTTCCTTTTCCTCTTGTCATCTCCTGGAGATGGCTACACATGAAGCTCCTGTCTTGGTGGTTCACAGGGCTCCATGGGAAGAAGTTCTTACCTTTCCTGGAGGTCATGTTTTCCCTAGACCTACTTCTCCTTGCCCAACTTGGCAGGCTGGAGGCAGGTCAGGGCATGCAGCCTCGTCAGCAAGATGTACTTCAGGAGATAAGGGCGGTGATGCAGGTCTCGCAGACCACTCTAGCTCTTCAGTAAAAGCTGCTGATTAGAGGTGGTTGGATGGGGATGGTATCTTACAGCAGTGCTTGAAGACAGAGGTCAGCAGTGAAAACGATTCTTCTTGGAAAGCAAATGCAACTCGGATGTAACCTAGTGGATTTAACTTCAGTTAAAAGGATACTCATCAGCTGTCTGAACAGGCATAGTGGTTCAGATGCCATCAAGCTTTTTGAAGGTCAGATTTTAAGGGCATCTTGATCTGGAGTGAACTACAGTGAAGCAGTATTTCAGGGTCCCTGCTGAATGATGTTACTGCCTATACTGGAGTCAGATGGAAAGAAGGGTTGTTTTTTTTGTTTGGTTGGTTTTGTGTTTGTTTGTTTGGGGTTTTTTTACTAAAATCCTGAAGTTTACAGAATATCCTGAGCGTGTGCTGTAGAAAACCATGCCCTGCCTTGAACTGCCAGAAGGGCGAAAATCTCACCAAGGAGACTGATGATTCGAGAACAGCCAACTCTTAACTACAGTGGTTACATAATTATGCACTGAAGTGTGCAGTGGTAGCAGAGCATACAGTTAGCTTTTTCCCTTATTTAGCACATAAATAATTGATTTTTTCTTTTAGTGCCTGAGCCAGCTTAGTTTAGTCATCCTAGAATGCTGGGCACTGAAGTTCTGCATTTTATTTTTTCCTTCCCCTCCTAAGCTCAGGTGACTTCCACTGGAGATTAAAGAAAGTGCGAGGTTGTATTCATTAGTCTGTTAGAGTCTGGAGGAAATGACATTTAATGACAGGCTTGCCAGCAGCTCTAGGAGAAAGGTTTCAACTGAATGTGTTGTACTGGCTTTCTACCACTTCTGGGAAGCAGTCCAGTTTTGCTCTATGTAGCAACAGGCCTACTACTGACGGTGGAGTCTCCTACTGTCTTGCTAAGGAACTAATAATCAGGGCATGCTGCAGCAGGAAAAAGGGGTGAATTGCATTTACAGAGTACATCCCTGAAAAATACCCATGATTCAGATGTGTAAATGGAATTGCTACAGTTTTTTTGACCCTCACCAAGTCTATTCCCTACTATTTCTGATTGTGATGAACTTGGTGTGCGATGGAAAGAACAGTAAAGAGGCCAGTATTCTTTCACTGGCAACAGATGTACAAACCCGTCTTCTGCCCTTGTGTGGTCAGAAGGAGGTGGAATTCACTTTTCCTGGGAGAGTGCTCTGTACCAATCCCTTCTTTTGTACTCATGGTTGTGAAGGGAGCAGGGAGACGCTGGGGATGTCACCGGTGGGCTGCAGAGCAGCACCCTGAGCTCTGTGCCCTAGGTTGAAACTTGTACCAGCACTAGTGAATGTGAAGGAAGGGCTTGTCTGGAGTGGGGTTGGGAGATGGGACCTGGGGTAGGAGAGGAGGGAGAGGAGTAGAGCAGGGCCCTGCTTTTGGTGATGTTGATGACAAGGTGGTAAGAGGAGTCAGCTGGGGAAGCAAGGGTGGGCTTTTTTCTGGTATGCTCCCCTGCATTCATAGCTCTCTTGTTTTGCTCAGAATTGGAGTGGAAGATTTCCGAGTCGGGTGCCATCAAGACAGACCTCGAGGAGAACCCCAGGAAGCAGATCCAGGACCAGCTCATGTCTTCAATCAGGGCATATGTCCCAGCAAACACAGACAGTGACTCAGAGGATGACTAACTCCTCCGACCGTGTAGAGATTCATACAGCGCATTTGCAGCCAATGTTCCCACCTAGAGCACTGGAGATGTTTATCAAGGTGTCGCCGAGTATTTTAAGACAGCCATTTATCTAGAAACATGTAGAAACTAAAAAAGTTTCTTTTTTAAAAAGAAGAAAACCACAACTTATTGCAGCTTCACTTAAGATCCTGAAAGACATTTTATATTATGAAGCCTGAGTAAATCTTACTCAAAATTTTAAAATATAGACATGAGTAGAAATGGAGGTCTCTTGTTATTATTTTTGTAGTAAATAGCTGACTTCTTTAAAAAAATCTGAAATACGAAGTGGCCTTAAATACACTGTTTGTATTTGGGTTTGTTTGTTTGTTTTCAAGCTTAACTTGTGTAAATCAGATCTAAATAGCTGGTCTTGAACATTTAGTTGGGCCTTCTCTTAGTCCATCCTATGTAGATGTCCGACAGCCTGGACTGTGTGGAGATCTGGGAGAGGTGACCCGTGATGTGGGTACCCCTGAAAGGGGCCTGTGGTTCTTTGCAGGGGTGTGCTCGCAGTGAGACCAGCATGAGGCTGTGAGCTGGGACCTCAGATGTCTTGAGAGAGGCCTTGGTGACAACCAGTGTCTCCAGGGACTTACTGAGTCTAGAACTCCCTTTCATATAGCAGCAGTATGCTTCTTTCACAGAGGCTGAGCTTCCTGCACCATCTTATCTGCCAACTGGGAAAGAAAACTCAAGATGGTGGTCCTGGAGCGTGAAACTGCTGAATTTTTCCACAAAATCAGAAGCCTGATGTGTTACCAGAGTGGTGCCGTTGCCAAATGGGAGGGAAAAATGACATTTTAAAGACCTGATCTTTATTAAAGCCCTTCCATCTTCTAGGTATAGTAATAATAATTGAGGCTTTTGAAGAGAATGAACTGAAATATCACCATAATTATAGATGTGCTGACACTGAGCTCCTTGCTTATTTTGGGTTGGATTTAATGTCTACCTACACTTTTGTTTTGTCTACACTTAAACAAGCTCCAAGAGCTCTTGCTAACAAGGCTACTCCAAGAACATATTGCTGATGGATTCAGTGGGTGGATGGTACAGTATGTAACACTAAGCAGGAAATCTTTTTTGGTTTTGTATTAGTTCATAGTGACTTTTAAGCATGTTTCTGCACCCTGTTTCCCTGGTCAAATCTGCATGTAGTTCAAACAACAACTTCAGGTGAAGTTCTAAGATCCCAGTGGAGAGCTTCCTCTTTGAGATCAGAATGGTGATTTGAGTGTCACTGAAGTCTTTTTCTTTATTTCTCTTTCGTGGTTTTTTTTTTTTGGCAAAATAGCTAAAAGTTTAATACTGTGGAAGTGAGCCAAATGCAGCAGAATACAAGGTAATACATTCTGAATATTATTATTCTACATAGCACCACGTTTCTTTTGATGTTGGACTATCCAAAATGCTGGCAGAACTGATGCTTTTGTGTACTTACCTGCAACTACTTGCTGTCTAGGAAGAAGACAACTCTTTCTCTCCAGAAAAACCTGCATTATGTATTTTGCTATCTTTTAGCTGTGCTTTGGAGGGTCTTCTGTGCACATGGACTAGGTTTCTTTTGGAGGAAACTGTCTAGAGGAGCAGCCCCCAAAGGAAAAGTTGGTCCAAAGAGCAAGGCTAAAGCTAACCCGAGGTAAGGTCCTCTGAAATGTGTGTAGCATGGATGTCACATTCTCATCCTCCCCTTCCAGATCTGCTGCAGTTGAATTGTCTGGATGCAGACACAGCTGCCATACCCTTTTCAACTTTTTAAAGTTTATCAAACCTTCTAGAAAGAGGAGGTGGAATCTGCAATCCATCTTGTAGCATTGCTGTAACAATTCCAATCTGAAATCTAGTTTAAAAAGTAGGCAACTCTTTAGCTACTCTTTTACTTATATTATTCTGTCTTTTATTGTCTTCTGCTTCAGTGCCTCTGTGGAGGCAGAGTAGCAAAAATGTTGCAGCTACTTTTTCACTGTCTTCTAGACCATTGATTCATGGACCACAGCAGGAGAGGAGCACAAAGCAGGATGAGCACTCATTTGGATGGAGTTACTGAGGGCTCTGTCCTGTAGGATCTTGGAAGCATCTAGGGATGAAGACCTGTCATACTGTCCCAGTGCTTGACTGGCTCCAGGGCAGCCCTCTGTTCTTTGCGTCTTGCTCAGGACAGCACAGGCAGCAAGACCTTGGGGCAGGATAATTACAGAGAGGAGTCTGTTGTGCAGAGCTTGATCCAAAGCTTGTTCAATCAGGAGAACTGGTGTTTCAAAGGCAGGTGGACATCCTTAGGATACTAACCATAGACCTGCTTGAGTTCATCAACAGAGAAAGCTGAAGGACAGAGAGCATCTTGTGACTGGAACATACCAGCTTGCAAAGACCTTAGCCAGTGGCTCCCGTCTTAGAGAATGTTGCTTGAACCCACTTCCGGGAGGGAATGCTCAAGCCTTTTACTCCAGAAATGCTGCAAGTCTTTCTCAAAAGCTTCTTCCTTGCTCCTATCCACACTGGCACAGCGATTCTTGTTCCCTGATCTGCAAAGTAAGCCATCTTAAATAAGATGGTGTCCCCTCACCAGAATGGCTCAGGCCTGGTGAATGAGGCACTGCCTTGGTGTAGGTTTGAGTCCCCTGGGCAGAAGTGAGAATTTAACTGAATTGCTGATGTCCTTGCAGTGTGAGGCAGTAAACCTTGGATAAACAAAAGGGCGAGGTCATACTTTGGCCTCTTTCCATCACGATCTTCACGTCCAGCAGGGTCTTAAAACACAGCTGTTTTCCCATTTTATATGGGGTCCAATGGGTTTTGTGGGCTCTGGGATGACCAAGAGGGCTGAGCTCCTGAAGAGGACCAGGGCTGTGTATGAAGATCTGGTTGTCCCAAGCGGCTCAGCTGTGATGAGCCAGACACCCTATGCCTGTTAGTGATACTTATGGCACCCCAGGTAATAGTTATGTCTTTACAAGAAGTGAACCAGGCCTGCCTGAGAGGCTTATCCAGGAGACTAGGTAGGGGAGGAGGAGATTGCCTCTTCTTCTAGCCTGGTCCCCGCTCTCAGGACTACAGCAGGGGCTCCCTTGCTATTTAAATAGGTGGCATTGTGCAATGTTTAACAGTTTACGAGAAATGGAGACAGTCTGACTTGTACCATCTTTTATCCTGAGCTGCTTAATGTGTTGATGTGTTGAGGGGTGCTGTTTGAGGATGCTGTGATGAAGAGGACAGATGTGAGAATAATCACAAGCCAGAGGAGGCTGAATGTTCTACCCAGCTGCTGCAACCTGCATGAAGCATCGTTTCACATGGTGTCTGTGCTTCTTGGCTAAGTGTGGAAACAGCTTCTCATAACTTTATTCTCTTTCTTGCCAATCATATTGTCCTGCTCAAGGCCTTTTGTGGAAATTAGGTCTCTGCAGGAAATGGATAATGAGATCTATTTAACCTTTTGGCAGAGCAGAAGCTATGGAAGCACACAGTTAAGGGGAATGAGCTTGAGCTTAAAAGGAAGCTGGCTCATAAATAGCAAACCAAACCAGGCAATTAATATACGTAGCAGAATGAGGCAGTATAATGGGAGAAAATAATTGCAAAGCGTGAATTCTCATTTGCCAAGATTTAGGGCTCTGCTGCTAAATGCACAATCAATATTCTTGCAGCCTGTCAACAGTTGGTGTCAAGCCAGTGTTCACTTCTCACTGGTGTGAGAAGGGTCTTTCTGTCAGGTCTCATGGGAGAAGTCAGAGGCAACAATTCTGCAACCAGTGCTGAGGCTTATCTGGTTACTGTCCTGCGTACCACTGTGAAAGCATGGCTGGCACGTCGCACGCAGCAGAGGTGTCAGCAGGTGAGGGGAAAAATTAACTCTGGGCCATAGGCAGGGGCAGACAATTTCACAGAATTGTCAGGGTTGGAAAGGACCTTATAGATCATCTAGTTCCAACCCCCCGCCATGGGCAGAGACATCCCCCACTAGATCAGGCTTCTCAGAGCCCCATCCAGCCTGGCCTTAAAATCTTCCAGGGATGGAGCTTCCACCACCTCTCTGGGCAACCTGTGCCAGTGTCTTACCACCCTCATGGGGAAGAACTTCCTAACGTCCAATCAATCATCTCTAGTTTTAATCCATTCCCTCTAGTCTTAGTCACTTCCCGACATCCTAAAATGCCCCTCACCAGCTTTCTTGTAGCCCCCTTGAGACACTGGAAGGCCACAATAAGGTCTCCTCGGAGCCTTCTTTTCTCCAGACTGAACAGCCCCAACTCTCTCAGTCTGTCTTCATAGGAGAGGTGCTCCAGCCCTCTGATCATCCTCGTGGCCCTTCTCTGGACACACTCCAGCACATCCATATCTTTCTTGTGCTGTGGGCTCCAGAATTGGATGCAGCACTCCAGGTGGGGTCTCACAAGAGTGGAGTAGAGGGGGAGAATCCCCTCCCTTGACCTGCTGGCCACACCTCTTGATGCAGCCCAGGATATGATTTGCTGTTAGCAGACAGGCAGTCTAGAGGGGTTTTTTTTGTGTGAAATGTAAATGAACTACTAGTAATAAAAAGGGTTTTCTTCAGAGTACATGTCTGAAACCTGCTGCTTTCCTGGGTTATGTTGTGCAGCCACATTAGATTCATATCAGGCTGCCCTCATTCTGATTTCCATTTATCCAGACCTGCTTGCATTTACAATCCACACTCACCAAGCCCTGCCAAACCTGGAGGGTAACGTTTTACATCCACTTCATGCTCAGAGGCAGAGCCAGATGTCCTGCAAGCAGGGCAAGGCCATGGAGGAGCAAGTTAAGATGACAGTTTTCCAGGTGCTTAATCCAGTCATGATCAAGGACCTGTACGTAGGCGACGCATCCGTAGGACTGCGATCGCAGGAAGTGAAATGGAGAAGCATCCTTTGAATACCTGTCCTTTACCTGTTTTGGCCACGTCCTTTCTCAGGCTCAGCTCAGTCTCTCTTGCCTCCTCTTTGGATCTGACGCATCGCTTTTCAAATATGCTCAGGTGAGTATTTGGTCTTGTTGCTGAGAGTAGTTTAACTTAGGTGAGGTGGTTAACTATGAGAAAGCCAAGTGCATGCTTCTAGCTCTGCTGGATTGGCATACAGAAT